GACGTTATCAACTTTGTCTTTAGGTTGATGACAGCACCATAGAGGCATAAGAAGTCCATGCTAAGGATGACATCTCTCGAGCAACACTGTAGGACTACAAAGTCTCTAGGATAAATACGGCCGTTAATGGTGACTCTCGCTGTGCAGATTCCTGCAGGCGTTACGAGATGACCTCGGCTGTGCGGATTTCAGGGCCTTCCCAAGCTGACCTAACTTTCTTTAACTTCGCGGCGAACGACCCACTGATGACCGAGTAGTCGGCTCCAGTATCGACGAGAGTGGTCACACTGTGGCCGTCGATAAGAATGTCCAGGTCGCTAGTTCGCCGTTTCGCATTACAGTTAGGGCGTGGCGTCGGGTCACGGCGGTGTCGGCTTGTTCCGCTGCTTCCATTTTGCGTCGTCAGGTCACCTTCGGTAAGTAAGGTTTCGCTATCAGGGCTTTGCCTGGTTGGCGTTGTGTTCGGAAAGATCCGTCGCGGCGTCGCCGTCGTCAGAGGATCTTCGGTATTTCGTCACACAGCAACCGCACCTCCATCGGTTGCTGCCCTTAGTTTCCCGGATACGGGCTAGGAGACCAGCCCCGCGTTGGGCCAGAGTGCGGCCGGGGGTGCGGTGACATGCGGCGGCTGGGGGATGGCGAACGGGAAGGACTTCGTGGTGTCCATTGAGTTCCTGTCAGGTAGTCGGCGATGTCACGTGGCCGTTCTCCTGGCTGCGGACGCGGTGCATTGACGGCGAAGCCACACAGTCCCATCTGTTGGTACTGGCAACGGTGGTATGTGTGTCTGGCCTCGCTGCAGTGGTAGCAGAGCGGGCAGTGGTTAGGGGTGCACCAGACGTCAGTCTTCCTCGGCGTACTGCGCTGGGCCGCTGGCGAACGGTAGGTCGTCGGTAAGGGTGGTGGCGGCGGTGGCGTCTGGTGACGGAAGTGCGATGGGGCAGCGTTTCGGCTCGCGTGGAGGAGGGGCTTGGCGGCGGGCTGCAGCAGCATAGCTCATGGCTTACAGCTGAGTTTCTTGAGGCTGAAGAACGCCCAGCGATTGCTGGATCTCCTGGTGTACGACGTCCGCGATGGATTCCACGTGAGGCTGCGCTGAAGGAAGTAATTTTTGCAGCTCTTCTTGCACGATCGCTCGGATCGTCTCACGCAAGTCCGTGGTTCCAAGCGCTTGAATGCCGGCGTAGCCGGTAGACGAGAAGCTACGGTTATATTCCCGCGTGCGCAACTCGAGCGTCTTCTCTATCGTAGATGCTTCTGAAATGAATTCGGCGACCGTCTTTGGCGGGTTTCTGATCAGCCCAGCGAAGAAATCCTGCTTTACTCCTCGCATGAGCAGACGGACCTTCTTCTCCTCGGACATGTCGGAGTCAGCGTGGCGGAAAAGTTTAATCATATCTTCAGTGAATAGCACCACGTTTTCATTTGGCATCTGCATGCGGGTTTCGAGGAGAGCTGCGGCCTTCTCTTTGCGCACAACACTTGCAAAAGCGGTAAGAAACCTGGCGAGAAAGACGTCCCACATTGTAAGGCTTCGCTCTTGATGCTCGAACCAGGTCCGAGCAGCATCTTCTAAGGCGGAATACACATGCCAGAGCTTGTCATCGTCTGTCCAGTCATTGAAGGCGGCGACGCGGTCGAACCTTTCGATCCAGCTTTCCGGATCTTCCAGTGGCGAACCGCGAAAAGTTGGCGGCTCTTTGGGTTGCCGGAGCAGGAGTGGTGCAGGCTGCACGGGGGCGGTCATGGTTGCAGTAGTTGATGTCGGGATCCGAGTCTGCCTGGCTGCTTCAGGAAGGGGCCCATACTCTGGTTGTAGTCCCCTCTGCCTGCGGCTTGTTCGCTGTTCAGGGTTAGCGTCCGTGTCTTCTTTGACGCTCGGGCTGGGGTCGCAGCTTGAAGGAGGCGTTCGGTACATGGAAGAAACAGCACCTCCACCAGATGTCACGGGGTCGTGACGTGGCCGAAGACAGGAGACTTTGTGTTGGAATTTAACTGTTTATTTGGGCGAACCTGTGCCCGGTAAACGGAAAGTCCGATTACAGTAGCAGTCTTGGACTGATAGCGGCGAACGGAGGGTCGGCCGTCGCTCAACTACTGACAAGCGGCGAAGTGCGTCGGCATTTATACTCTTGCCATGGAATGTTCTAGCGTTATCGCTGGCGGTGGCGTAGGTTTCAGAATAATCTGTACAGTTTGCAGAGTAGGCGTGATCTTATCGAAATGATCTTCTAAAGTCCGGAAGCTTCTCGAAAACTGCACGTGCGTTTTGTGCTGAGAATTGTGTAGTGTTTTGGGGCGATAACAAAACTTGAGAAATGGAACATGGCAAGATTCAGCAAAAAAATGATGTAATGGTCATTTGTGTATTGTTTTCTGAATACTTTCAATAATTGGGAATTACTGGCATTTTTCCCAGACCCACAAAATCTGAATTAATGAGCTTTTACTGTGCAATCACCCTATTCACTCGCGTAATGAATCCGCTTTCTTTCTTGAAAAATCGCAGCAAGTTGGGGGGCATTTATTATGTGGGGCAAATTTTATGAAATCGTTTTTGGGATGAGCGAAAAAATGCAGTAATTAATGCAAAAAAAAAAGAAGTTAGGTTGCTTAGCCTTTCACAATTGACATACGCATACACTGTTTGAAAAAAAGCTTCCTTGTTTCATTTCACTCACCTTTGGTGGTTGATGGCGCTATCTTCTGCAAGCGGTCACCGCGCTGCCCGTGCATTCCATAAAAGCGTTTTGCAGCTATCTTTTCTCGCAATTGTTTAACTGCAACAGGGGTATCTGCTGTGATAATGAGGGGTGCCCAAAAGTGTGCGCTGAAACTCACTTTACCAACTTCGCATCAATCTCGCACAACGACCGTGCCATCGCCGTTGACATTGTAGCAAGTAACCAACATTTCAGCAAGCTGCCACCAATGTATCATAACGAATCGTTGATAGTAAAATTAATGACAAAACATGACCACCACCTCGCTGTTCACTTGAAAAGTTACTGTAGAAAAGGCAGCCTATATCTTGCGTTCTTTGAAGTACGCGTGGATAACAAGCGCGAAAAGCAAATCGCAACCGAAATGAAAATTTGGGGTGCCTATCATGTTGCGGAAACAGTCGCGATCTTTTCTGGGCAACAAGCAATTTTTTTCTGGTTTTCTAGGAACCTGTGACGCGATGTCGACGAAAGCCCTTCGCAACCACCATGGCAACAGTCGTTGCTCGAAAATTATGTGCATGTGGTTGGGCCTTGAAGTTTTTCATTTGCAGGGTGCGACCGCCGGTTGTCACGGGTAGTTTTGTGGCCTTCACTCGCTGTGTGCTTCATCAGCTATGATGTCTACACTTGCACTGTTCGTGAGCTCCGCTGTGGTGCATAGATAATTAAAAAATAGTAGAGACGTGGCGCACAGATAAAAAGAAAAGTAATGCGGCGTGCAGCAGTGAGTGAAAGGAAGGAGGGAGCGAGGCGAGATGGCCAAGAGATGTCGGCATAATTATAAAAAACAAAAGAGATTCAACGGGCAAGGAGGTGGCAAGTGTTGGTTAGTGGCACTGCAGCGGATGAATGTAGGGGGTGCGTTTATTACGCGGGGGAAAAAAAATTCAAATTTTGAGGACTGAAGTTGGGGGTGCATTTATCATGCGAGTGCGTTCATTGCGCGAGTAAATACGGTATATAGCAAGCAGAGGAAGCCGCTCGATCTGAACTTTTTTCGACGCCAGAGCCAAGGACATAGTGATATGTTTTGCCACTTTTTATTCTTTTCTTTCTTTCCAGACATGTATGTATCAGCTCTGTACTGAACACAAGCGATGTTTTGCGCAATCGAATAGTGTTACAATGCCACTAAAGAATTGGTAGTATGAATGTATAAGAAAACGTCAAGAGCCTTATAGTGGCCCCGAATAAAGTGAGCTCAATAAATGTGATACCTGTTTCACATGGTGCACCACTAATTGTGCTTAAGCCCAATCGGGATCAAATTTCTCAACAGTAATTGGGTATACTATGTACTCGTAAATGAACAAAATGGGATCGAAATATTTGATCCAAATCAGGCCTGACTGTGATTAGAAGTGACTGTGTGACACTGATATGATTCAACATTTAGTGTTGTGCTAAATTAAGACCTGACACATTGTAGAGATACTGAAGAAAACTTTTACCACTGAGATTTTCAGTAAGGCAGCGATTTGGGCTTCTTGGTTTGCCACTTGAAGACACATTGTTGCATGAATGAGCATGAAATGTGTGTTCGAATTAGATATTCAGCACGATTGAAAACTTGGGTGTTGAAATAAGTTAATGCAAGCTTATTTTCAGGTATAAACTAGAATAAAATAACAAAATTATTGAGTTTTTCACAAACTGCCACATCTAGTGGCTGTGCTGTGAACTAGAAGAGATGACATCACAGGTCTCCAGAAACATGAGCACCAGCCATGTCAGCCACTTCCCATGTATTTCAGCCCGCCCTGCTCCCACTACGGTTTCTAGGACCAGTGTAAACTGTGCTGGCAGCGAACAGTGCTCCCTGCTGGGTCACATTTCGACTTGAATGGAAAAGAGGGGTGAATTGATAGAAGTTAGCAGGACAGAAAAACATGGACCCTGCTTTCATGCTATGCACACGATGTCACAGCCACTGATATACTACTCTTAGCGTGCTCACAATCCTTCCACAATACAACCAACTCTTCAGAAATATGCTAAATGACCTCTGTTTGTTGAAGCAGTCCCATCTTCCAAGTGGACTTTTTATGTTTTTTGGAAACATTTCAACTCGCGCACAGTAGATGGGAAAACGGAAGGCGAGAAGACAAACCCTTGCATATGTCTTCTCGCCTTCTACTTTCGCATCTACTGAGTGCGTGTTGAAATGTTTCCAAGAATGTCCTAAAACCAACTGGCTTAACTTTCCATACTATTGCATTTTATGTTTTTGTTTATTTACTCATTTGTATCCCTTCAACCTTGCTGAAAATGTAGGTTTAGGACTGGCCCTTGGATTGTGCCAACAACAGTACCCCAGGACGTGATGCACCTCGTCCTGGTGCTTAATGGACGAGAGCCCACCAAGGTGGCAGCTGCTCAGGCTTGGCTGGATGCCCTGCCTAGCTTCCATCGGCTCAAGGGAGTTGCCGTCGTCCTGTTAGGTGATGAGGCGTGCTCTGCAAACACTTGGCTGCTGCCATATCTCAAGTCACGCGGTGGCAGGGTGTCAGCTGCATTCATCATCTACGACACGCCGCTAGTGGACGATGTAGAGGTGTTTCAATGGCCCCTGGGTGTGGCCACGTGAGTTTTGCACTCTGCTTTTTTCAACTATACCTAGTAACAACCTAAGTACAGGCTCCACCACAGAACCATGTGCACTTGTCAACCACATTTCTAAGAGAGTCGTAAAAGCTGGTTTTCTTTCACACAAAATGTATACTTTTTCCTGCATTAATGTATATATCGCACATTGAAAACTAAAAGTTGATCGCACCTACCTGAAATATAATTTTTGGCTAAGCAGTGATGTCAAAATCTCTCTTAACATTTGCTAGGATCCTCATTTTTTGTGCTCGAAATCAGCAACAATAAAATGAATGTGTATGGGAACACCAAGTATGATTGAACATCTTTATAAGAGACATGCACCAGGGAGAATTTTTGTCTTTTATACGAGGTGTCTTTTATAAGCAGGGTACCACGTATTCATTCTCTTACCAACATCTGTTTTAAATGTAGGCACACTGGTGTCTCTTATACCCATTTGGTTCTTATTTAAGTGTCTCTTTAAGGGGGGAGGTGGCTTTGAAAAAAAACTTTTTTATTTGTTGACCTATAGCAATGAAATTTGGCATGCATACTCATAAGTGTCTAGAATAGGGAAATATGCAGTTTCATCATGATAGCTTCAGTAGTTCTCAAGTTACATAATGCTACACGATCCAATTACATGGTCTGCTCGTGGAAAGCCTAGCGCTGCAACAAAACATGCCAGGAAGCTGCGAATGATGTTGATCTTTACTCAAAAGAAAGCTACAGGGTATGACACTCTTGGAATTTTTTAATAAGTTCTCGTTTCTTTTTAGAGATCATCATGGCTGCCGACACACATTGTCAGAAACAATGGCACGAACAAATCATCGTCTAGTAAAATAACTGGGCCACAAAACAGAAATTGAAGATTGCTGTACCCACAAGCAGTGTTCAGGGATTCAGGGAAAAAAAACAGAATCAAAATCGGTCTAGTCATTCTCGTGCTACTCTTTCCACGAGCAATGCACAATGTCCAAAACAAACTTGTGAGAAAAAGCCTGTCGAAGTTTTCGACAGGCTTTTTTTCAATGAACTTTTTTGTTTCTGGTTGGATATTGATGAAAATTGGCACAGACACTAAGAATAACCTCACAGTGCTTTCATAAAAATTTTGAAGCGATACCACAAATACTTTACGAGAAACAAATTATTTCTTCACTGAACCATGTGGAGGGGCTGAGCATAATGTCAAAAAAAAAAAAAACAGTGTTGAGAAAGCTGCGTTTAAAGTTTCAACTTTTCTTTACGTCTCTAAGACACCTAAAAATTGTGATCTCAGGTTTGTCTTGCGATATTTGACTTCTTTTCATGATTTACTCCTTTTCATGAGTTACAAAGAACAAGTATGAATTTCAAACCAAGTTCTTTGTATGAAGGAGTGGTGTGATAAGTATGACAGAAAAGATTGTAATTGAATAAAACCATATACTGAAATTATTAAACATACTTTTTTGTGCTGAAGTTGTAATTAGCGTAATTAAGTACTTGATTAGAAATATTCACTGAACTTTTTTTTTTATTTGGAGAGAAGTTTATTGCATCAGAAAAATGGATCACACCATGACGGCCTATGCCTTCTTTCCAAATAACAAAGTTATGGGCAGAAGACTGGTGGCACGGGAATTTCTAGCAGTATAATTAATGACACGAAACGGGCATATAAAAATTCGTGCCCCTGATTCACACATGCTCTTTCGCCGCTCTAGCCGTGAAACGCATCATCATACAGCCGGTCGCGGAAATTCTAATCTACAGCAATTCATTAACCTCGGAACATTCATAGACGTTCGTGGAGATATCAAGCACGGCTCCAAGCACGTCTGAATCGCATGACGATCCGCGAAATGAGTAACTACGAAGACAAAAAATCGGCACGCACTGCACTTGGCATCGCATTTTCGAATGACGACGCGCGAAACTGCTAGCCGCTGTTCCGAGCGATCCTTGGCAGTGAAGGGGGGAGGGGGGGGGGGTGACGAGCTTGACTGTGTTGTCCGCTGCCGATGCGTAAAATGCCCGTACACTATTCGGAGGAGCTAGCGAGTGATGTGGTACATTCCTTGCGAAGAAGCACGTCACCAAGAGTGCGCTTGCGCGTCGTTCCTGCCCGCAGTCTCGCTGTCAGCGGAGTTAGGCCTAAAGCCGACTCCGATGACGCGCCGCACTCGTAGACCGCCGCGCGCCCGCTCGTAGTAATCTGATCGTGCATCCGGTGCGGCCACTCGTAGTAATCAGATCGTGCCGCCGCTTACAGCTTCGTTGCTTGCGAAGAAACACGTCACCACGAATGCGCTAGCGGGTCGTTCCTGCCCGCAGTCGGCGGAGTTAGGGCTAAAGACGACTTCAATGACGCGCGGCGCTCGTAGACCGCGCTGACGCTCGTAGTAACCTGATCGCGCATCCGCTTACTGCTCGTAACTAAAGCGTAGTTATATCTTAAGTGATTATCAAGCCGTGAACACGTCACGAAGTGGCGATTTTCGAGAGCCATGTCCTCGCGACGCACAAGCAGCAGACGACGATCTCCCGGAGCGAGCATCGGGCCAATGGCGAGGCGAGCTGAGGCAACATGGCGGCCACGGCCAATCAAGGGCCTCAAAACGACCTTCAAACATTTGCTTTTTGCTCGCTTGTTGTTAAAGGGAGGAGCCAGCTGAGGCGGGAAAGTTAAACACGGAAAAATGCTCTTTCCGATGAGCCCAAGAAGCCGGCTCCCGGCCCAAGCATAGCGAAGCTATTATTTTTTGAAAATCGCCGTTTTCTCGCCATTTTCAGAAATATTTTTGCTACCTAGGTGGGTGAAACGAATTTTCCGAAGCACTTCTGCGCGGTTTTCAGTGTAGATATTTTGGAACCAGATAGAAAAAGGGTTCCAGAAACTGAAAACTTGAGTTTCAAAAAATCGATTTTTTTGCCATTTTTCGCGATCCCAAAGCCGCGTCCCCCCTTAAAGGGGTTCGATTCTATTTCAAATGCACAAAAGGTGCTTGATGTCTTGGAAATAACCAAATGGTATTGAATGGAATGTCTATAAAAATTCTTTATCGTTTGGCCAGTCATGAATGTGGGTAGAGTTTGCATTGTAGCTTGCATTGTAGCTTGCATTTGTAGATTGTAGCCAACTATGGTCTTCTTATGGTTTTAATTCAACATTGGAGGAATGTTTTACGTAGATTCCAGTGTTTAGAATGTTTTCGCGTAAAAACACAGGCTTTTCCATAAAATTGTTTTGTTGTGCCTTATACAGTAAAAGCCTATGAACTTTTATTTCTCATGACCAGAAAAAAATGATCTGGTTAGCTGTGGTGGAAGTGCTGTGCCATTCATTCTATGCCAATCAGACCTGCTGCGCCAAGCTTTGCAGAGATGGCAATTTGTGCATACAACACCATGTTTAGCAGTTTTATCATCAACCAAGCAACACAATTTGGATACACAAATGGCACAGCCGCATTCATATCGCATGTAGTTTGGTCATGTAATAATTCAGTTCATGCATGGTGTTAGACCATGCATGGATTTAACACCATGCATGAATCTGCGCCACGTGAGCAAAATGTGTGGACCCTGCTAAGTTGGTGTTTGTGTGCAGACGTCATTGCATGAGTCTATTTTTTTAACAGTGAAGCAATTAGTGGAACTACAAAGGCAACAATGGTGTTGCGAAAAACTGGCCTTGCTGTTGCCGACCATCTGCCAAACACGCTCTGTGATGGAGAACATCATACTGTCACGGGGTCGTGACGTGGCCGAAGACAGGAGACTTCGTTTTGGGATTTAACTGTTTATTTGGGCGAACCTGTGCCCGGTAAACGGAAAGTCCAATTACAGCAGCAGTCTCGCACAGATAGCAGTCTCGGACTGATAGCGGCGAACGGAGCGTCGGCCTTCGATCAACAACTGACAAGCGGCGAAGCGCGTCGGCATTTATACTCCCGCCGTCGAATGTTCTAGCGCTACCGTTGGCGGCGGCGTACGTTCCAGAACAATCTGTACCATTCGCACAGTGGGCGTGATCTTATCGAAATGATCTACTACAGTCCGGAACCCTCTCGAAAACTGCAGGCGCGGTTTGCGCTGAGAATCGTGTGGTGTTTTGGGACGATAACAAAAGCTTGGAAAATGGAACGTGGCATTGCCCCCCTCTGAAAAAGGCATCGTCTCGATGCTTTAACTAAAGATGAAGGTACAATAATAATGCAAGAAAGTACAATGAATAAATTATAATACAACAATTATACAAAAAAAAGCACTGTTTCAGTTTGTTAACGCGCATGAAACGGCTTTAGGCGTGCGACATGGACGACTTCAGGTCGCGATCGGCGTCGTTGAGAGTTCGTGATGCCGTCGGGGACAACCTCGTAATCAAGTGGGCCGAGACGTCGAACCACCCTGTACGGTCCGAAGTACCGTCGCAGAAGCTTTTCACTTAGTCCACGTCGGCGTATCGGCGTCCACACCCAAACACGTTCACCGGGCTGGTATTCCACGAAGCGTCGTCGAAGGTTGTAACGGTGGCTGTCGGTCGTCTGTTGATTCTTGATACGGAGCCGCGAAAGTTGTCGGGCTTCTTCGGCGCGATGAAGGTACTCGCTCACATCGAGGTTTTCTTCGTCGGTGACGTTGGGTAACATGGCATCGAGCGTCGTTGTCGGGCTCCTTCCGTAGACCAATTTGTATGGAGATATTTGCGTCGTCTCCTGCACCGCCGTGTTGTATGCGAAGGTCACATACGGAAGAATGGCGTCCCACGTCTTGTGTTCGACATCGACGTACATTGACAGCATGTCGGCGATCGTCTTGTTAAGCCGCTCGGTGAGGCCGTTGGTCTGTGGGTGGTACGCTGTCGTCCGGCGGTGGTTTGTTTGGCTGTATGCCAAGATCGCTTGAGTTAAGTCGGCAGTGAATGCCGTTCCTCTGTCGGTGATAAGGACCTCCGGGGCGCCGTGACGTAGGACGATATTTTCGACGAAGAACTTAGCTACCTC